GAAGTAGGGAGTGTACCCAAGACCACGCACAGGGTTGGCAGACAGTAGTCCTATAAATTTATTTTTATGATCTGAATTCCCAGGTGTATATAGTAGAGCTGACAAGGGGCAAGGTTGTAGTCACTTCTTGGTCACAGCCAGCTACCCAGAGGGACTGAGTAGTTGAACCTGTGGGCTCGGGACCGTAGTCGCAGGGGACATCAAGCTCAATTGGCATCACATACTACATAAAACATTGTTCCACCTCCTACTTTGGTGAGTAGTGACTGGGATCTTAAAAACTTGCAAGCAGCCATCTAGATGGAACGATGGGTCTCTCCTCATTCAGAGCAAAGAAGAATGAAGAAAATCAAAGATTCATGGAAACAGTTAGTCCTGGCGACTGGTACGCCATGCGATCTGCAGCCTATACAACTATGAGACCAGAAGAACTAGATGGTGCCTGGCTACCACTGTCAACCACTCAGAGGCAGATCTATGTAGGAGATCCTGGATAGAGAGGGAGAACAATGTGGAACAAAACTCAAAATCATTTGGAGAGAAAAAAAAAAAAAAACAAGGTTTCTGGGTCTGATAGAGCCTGGTGGAACCACTGAGACTATGGCCCCTAGCTGCCCTTCAGGTCTGGAATTGAACCCACACCTGTGGCCTCCAGCCAAATAAAAGACAAGCATATGAGTTGAACATTTACCTGAGGTAGATACACTCCTTGGAGAGAACAATCATGGGAGAAAGAAGCACTGTTTATACACAAGGAGACAGATCAGGGGGCAGGAGTGCATGGGGGGGATGGACACAGGGAAGAGGTAACTACCGAGAGAAAGTGGGAGGGGAGCTGTTGCACTGGGGTAAGTTGTAGTCAATGTCATGAGACAAAGTGCACATGAACTGCTGTATGGGAAGTGAATTTGCTCTGTAAACTTTCACCCAAATCACAATTAAGAAAAAAAAAAAAAAACTTTGTCTGAGGTCCTTTGGACATGTTCTTTGGAGGAACCAGTTACTGGAGAAGGACATCATCCTTGGTAGAGGCTCAGCAAAAACAGAGGAAGACCCTCAATGAGATAGACTCAAACATAACAATGACTGTGAGCATGTGGTGCAGGATGACACAGGACCAGGCAGTGTTTCATTCTGTTGTACAAAGGGTCACTAGAGTTGGAGCTGACTCAATGGCATCTAACCATGTGGGAAAAACAATTAAATGTTATATGACGAAACTTCCTGGCATGATAGAAATGTTTTCTATCATGAGAGTGGTGTGGGTTACAAGTGTTTCTCTATTTATCGAATTAGCCATTTGTGTGGGTAACTTTTTTAATATATAATTTATTATCTACTTTAAAAACATGTTGTTGTTGTTGTTTGCTGTCGAGTCGGACCCGACTCATATATAGTTTCATTATTTTATATTGTTAAAATACAGTTTTTTTAAAAAAAATTATTGTTTTAGGTGCACATTTACAAAGCAACTTTGTTTTACATTCAACAGTTCATGCACATTTGATTTCACTCCCTGATTACCATCCCCAACCATTAAAAATTCTCCTCCTCCTGTGACTACTCCCTCCCTACACCCTTCTTAACTTTCATGCATTTCAATGTATATAAATTTTACCTCAACCAAACAACTATAACTACACAGAGGGGGATAGGATTGGTGGTTCAGAAATACAGTAATGGCAGAATGTTGATAATTTTTGAAGCTAGATGATGGGTACAAGAGAGTTCATTACATTATTACTTTATACATGTTTGCCAGTTTCCATAACCAAAATATTAAAAATGCACTGGGGTTGTAAGTTGCACTTTCACTTGTTTATAGAAATAAAATCAGAAAAACCCAAACCAAGTATCATGCCCACTGCTATTAGAGCTGATGGTGGTAGTGCAGGAGGGAAGAGAGGTGAGACATAGTCAGGAGTGGCTTCATAAGGCCCTGGGAGGGGTGAAAGAGGAGAGATGAGAAGATGAAAGAGAATGGAGAAGAGAAGATAGGGTAGGGGGTGGAGTATGAGAATGATGAAAGGGACAAGGGGGCACTGAGCGGCCTGTTTAGGGGACAGCAGTAGAGGTATGAGGGGGAGGTGTCTTGGGATGGATGCTTAAGGGACAGGACAATATGCTGAGCCAGGCTCACAAAACGATCTATTCTGTTAGAGTCACCTTTCCCTCATCTGAATTGTGTCCTTGTCACAAAGCCCCAATGAGACAAAAGAAGGGTTTGTTTGCCCTGTGGGGACCTTAGGTTGGAAGTGCCAGCCAGATAGAATCCATGCTTTCCTCCCTGGTCCGTTGCACCAGCCTGGCCTACCCTAAGCATGGCCAAGCCCCATTTGTGCCCATCTTGCTGGCGAAGCACTCTCATGCACCCTGCAAACATTTAATCTACCCAGTACTCTGTGGTGCAGGGAACAAATGCTGACTTGACCCACACTCATTATGTGTCCCCATAGCATTTTCAATCACCTCTATGCATGTGAAATCTGGACAATGAACAAGTGCTTGAGTAATTTATTTCAGAAAGATCAGCATAAAGCTGGTCTCTATGAGCGGAGGTTAAAGATGTCCCAAATGTCCAACTTTTCCAAACTGCCATGCCCACTCCATCATCTCTGACATCAACTTCTCCACCTCCCCTCAGAACCTCCCTCCTGTCTTAGTTCCATATTTTGCTGTAACTTCTCACAGAACACACAAACTCCCAAGGAAATGGCTTGCATGGTAGTATGGAAGCTGGGAGGCCAGCAGCCTGGCAAATCCCAAGCCTGTGGGTAGGTCTGGAGGATTCTCCCAGTTCATGTGGTTGCAAGGGTTGGCAAAGCCAAATTGCTGGGTCTGATGGTGGCTGCTGTCTCAAGTCCAGGGGTGAGATAATGATGAACCAAACACAGTGTGTTAGACTGGGTTCTCTAGAGAAACAAAACCAGTAAATGTTATGTATATAGAGAAAGAGAAATTTATCTTAGGAAAATGGCTCACACGCTTAGAGAAGCTGGCAAGTCCCACGCTCTTGGATCAAACGTCAAGCTGGAGGCTTTTCCTGTCTTACGCAGCTGCAGGGGCTGAGGAGCTCAAGGTTGGCAGGCAGTATACTGGCTGTTGACTCCAACGAATGATGAATCCAAGATCTCCAGGCCAAATGGTGGATTGTTTGCTCACAGAAAGTTGTAGGCAGCACAACAGAATCCCGATCCACAGAAAAGTGTCTCTTTTCCCAAGATGTCCATAAATATATTGGAAGCAGGCCACACCCCTAGTGAAACTCCCTTTCAATGGATTGGCTGCTCAAAACATATACATCTGATCCCATCATGGGAACAACCCATACCACAATTGCTTAAACCACACAAAATTGTGGTCCAGCCAAGTTGACACACAGCTCCAACTATCACACACAGGACCGGAGCAAGAGAGCAAACTTTCCCAGAATATTCATATATATACCCTCAAGGAAGCTAAGAGTGGTGACTTGAGTCACACCCTCCAGCAAGGCAGCATTCAAGATACATCCCACCCTAAACAGGCATAGAGACTAGGATTTACAATACATCACAAAATGCAGGACAATGGCTAGAAGGGCCATATTAAGAAATTCACTGCACTGTAGTAAGGAAGACCAAAGAGAAGGTGATGCCTTTGAATTGTGGTGTTGGCAAAGAATACTGAAAACACCATGGATTGCCAGAAGAACAAACAAATCTGTCCTGGAAGAAGTGTAGCTGGAATGCTCCTTGGAAGTGAGAACGGCCAGACTTCGTCTCACCTACTTTGGTCATGTTGTCAGAAGGGACCAGTCTCTGGAGAAGAATAACATGCTTGGTAAAGTATAGTCAGCAAAAAAGGGGAAGACCCTCAATGAGCTAGACTGACAAAGTGGCTGCAACAATGGGCTCAGGTACAGCAAGGATTGAGGCTGGTGCAGGACTGGGCAGTGTTCCATTCTGTTGTATGCAGGGTCACTCTGGGTAGGAATTGATTCAATGGCACCTAACATGTGTCCCTTGGTCCAAGCAGAATCCCTTGGGGCTGTGGATCCACCCACTCTTTCCACTTCTGCAGCCTGAACATGGGTATCTGTGGGCTCCCAAAATGCTTCCCAGTGCCTCCAAAAACATCAAGCCCCTCTCAGAGTTCACTGCCCCAGGTACTCAATAGCCTTTTAACGCCTCAAAATGAGCTCCTCCCCCTCCTGCCTTCACACAGTCTGCACATCCTCTTCACCCTCAGGTCCCACTCATGTCTTGCCCATGGTGGCCTCCCTGAGCTGCCTTTCTTCAGAGGCTTCTCCTGATATTATTTTTGAAGCTCTCATTTTTGTTTCCTTCAGGGTAATTATACAACTTGAGAATTTTATGTTTCCACCTCCCTAGGGTATAAGCTCCTGAGGACAGGCACCCCTCTGTCTTATTTAGTTAAAATTACCCACTGGAATTGCATCTTGCTTAAAAAAAAAAAAAAAAAAGCTCCACTTTCCAAAGTATGATGGCTAGCAGCTTGCAATGAATGTCTTAAACTTCTAACAAACAAAGCAGGCTCTGGATGGGGAAGGGGAGTGTTCTCTACAAAACACAGAAAAACACAGCATGGCTGAAGACCCTCCAATTCCCAGCTAGGCAGAAAGTGAAACACAGATGACTTCTGCATGTAATGCTGCTGCTGCTGCTGCTGCTGCTGCTCACAACACAATGGTGATGCCACCAATGATGATGAGCTGACATGTCACCTTATTACAAACCAGGGGCTCTGCACGTTTATTTCGAATTCTCACAACTACCCTGCAAGATGGGTATTACCATAAACACATGAGAAAACTATGATCCAAAAAGGGCCCAAGGTCACTCTACATCTAAAGTACAAATGCCACCCTGAGATTTTTATAGCCTCATTCTCTCAAATTCTTGGTCAGAATGTTCCCTGCAGAGCTCATTAAAACACAGACACACACACCCTTTGTTTCTCCCATTCCTCACACAGGAACAAGAAAAAAATCTCAAAAATCCACATTCAAATTAAAAGGTAGATTTATTGGCTGTCTCTGTTATACAGTCAAGTGCAAACATCTCAGAATAAGACATTCTAATTTTGTATTGGCTTCCCATTGTAATGAAAGACCGATGTCGGGTACACAGAGTTTGACAATCAGTGGACAACAGGCGCAAACTGTTGCTGGTTCTCATTTCTATAATGATTCATTCCACAGTTTCAAGAAAATTTTTGGTGTGATTTTTCTTTCATAGCATCTTCCTCTTTTCAAACTCCTTTAGAAAGAGAGAAGAGAGGGAAAAAAGAGTGGGGATAAAAGATCCAAATTACATTCATGGTCAAAATGATTTTGTAACTGCTTATGTTTAGGATCTTTTAGGATCTGAAAACCACAGAAATAAAATGTACCAGGATGAGGTATCTGAACACAAAATAACAGCTTTGAAATTAGTCTATGTCAGCTTACATTTCACTAAGCTACATGTGGAGTTTCAACTTTATGTCTCCTCAAGCAGGAGGCAGGAAGGGAGACTGAGTTACAATTTACTTTTTCTCTGTGGTGTTACCACTACGGGTTGACAAACCTAATTGTGCTTACCCAAGCTGTAAGGCTCTACATGAACCACAACTGGCCCTTTTAATAAGGCAATGGAAACAGAAGGCTTGCTTAGTTTAAAATAAAACTAAACACAGATTCAGTTAATATTTGTACAAAATGGCAAGAACCTTAGAAATATCTGAAAAGGAACAATGAAAGTCACATTCTCGAGACTGTGATAATTAGACTACAAAATGTGTAGACGTCTGCTGCCACGTACTGGCATGAGATGGCAATACATTTCTCCAATGTGAATCCAAGCATTTGCTTTTCCCTTTTTTCTCCTCTTTTAAAGATAATTCTTTTTCATATACTCACTAACCACCCAAATTTCATTCAAATACTATGAAATATGTAATATATAATGTCATATTCCAAAAGCCAGGTTCATGTAAAGAATCAATAAAACAAGGAGTCCATTTTATTCTCCCCACAGAACATAAATCAGGATTATGAAGTAGTCTCTGAACACTGTTCCCACAGAAACAATTTGTGCCCCTTTTCAACATGCTTAAGAAGCGTTTTTCATTTGCTTGTTTGTTTGTTTCAAAGGCTATAAGCATTATAAAAATAACAGGGAGAAAGAGCCTTAAAATAATCACCAAAGAGATAGGCTGAAAATCATTTCAAAGAGATTAGGGATGACACTAAATCATTCAGAATACTTTAAATAAAAATTTTCTTTTAAAAAAGGAAAAGCAAAGCAAACAGCAAGTTGAACCTCTAACTTCTGCACAACATTGGCATCAGGACACAGCCAGGGCCAGAAACAAAAAGCTGAGTCTCCCAACCCTAGCTTTAGACATCCTCTATCCTGACTCTCTTTTTACCTAGTTTTCATTTCTTGTTACTCAGTCTCCTGCCCCTCTCCCTGGAAAACAGATGTATGGGGTCAGAATAGCTGTATTCCCAAGGCCCTCCAACGAAAAAATAAAACAACACAAAAGAGAAAAGAGTTCTCTGCACCATCCAAAATGGACTTCATGGCACTTCTTAAGAACTCAGAAATGCCTTCTTACAAGTTATATCTTACCACATATGAAGCAGCAAACCCCAATCTTTTTAAGTTTTTTAATCAGAAAGATATTTTTGGTCATGCCCAATTAGGACTCTAATGGAGTTGCTAGAGACTGTTAAGCCCCATGCCAGGATGAAAGAAAATGGATTAACACCCAGAAGGCAAAGCTGTGCTTCCCAGGCCCTCTGTGTGGACCCAGGATGCTCTGGCCACTCCATGGCTCACCTTGTACATGGTGCTTCCCAGCTGTGCAGGAGACATGCTGATTACAACACCTGCACTCTGAAGGGCAGAGATCTTCTCCTTCGCGCCACCTTTCCCTCCAGCAATAATTGCCCCTGCATGACCCATCCTCCTCCCGGGAGGAGCTGTTAAACCAGCAATGAAGGATACCACAGGCTTGGCATTTGGACCCTGGAGAGAAAGTAATATTTTAAACAAAGAATATTATGTCGGGTAACACTTCAATGAAGAAGTCAATCAAAACTGGACCTCAAATTCATCACCAGGCCTGTATATGGAAAATGGCTTGGTCAGGGAAAGGCCCATCATTCATCCTCACTAAGAAAATCAACAAAAATATTAAGCCACAATATTCTCCTTGGAGATGAGTCAACTATCCTACATAAGCTCAAGAAAACAGCTCTGAGCAAGTTTTTTATATTAGGTACTATACTTCAGCTTAACTGACATAAACTATTTCGTAAATACAGAGTTGACTCTGCCACTTGAAGAACAGAAAAGCACAATTGAAAATGTGTAACAAAACTCAAAAACAAAAGAGATCAGGTTTACTGGTCTGATTGATAGAGTCTGGTGGAACCCTGAGACTACGGCCTTTAGACACCCTTCAAGCCTGGAACTGAACTCACTTCCATTGATTAAATATCAGCCAAACAATAGGCTTATAAAGTGAACAATACTAGGGAGATATGCACTCATTAGAACAATCAATCATATGAGATCAAAAGGGCTAAGAAGGCAGGAAGAGATAAGAGAAGGACAAAAGGAAATAATAAACACAGAGGAAGTGAGAAGAGTGCTGTTACACTGTGGGAACTGCAATGCATGCCACAAAACGTGTATAAACTGTTGAGCAGAAACCAATTTGCTCTGTAAACTTTCACCAAAATCACAATAAAAAAGAAAATGTATGTTACGTGGTTTGTAAAAAGTGTTTTGTGAAAATAATGAATTAAAACACAAAATCAGGTAGAAATAAAACAGCCTGATCTTGTGTCCTGATTGACTATTCCAAAAAACCAAACTCGCTGCCATCAAGTCAATTCTGACTCATAGCTACCCCCATTGGGTTTCCAAGGCTGTAAATCTTCACAGAAGCAGACTGCTCCATCTTTCTTCTGTGGAGTAGCTGGTGGATTCAAACCACCAACGTTTTGGTTAGCAGCCAAATGCCTTAACCACTACATGACCAGAGTTCTGTTCACCCTAAATACATATACTGAAAGAAAAAGCTGAGGTAAGAAGGCAAACTGGAAAGGCCCTAGGTTGAGGAGTCACCAGGCTCAATTTCCTATTAACTAATGAACTAAAGTGACTGAACTAGATAGCCAAGGGTTGGCCCTCTGACAGTCTATGAAATCTAAGATCAGGATTGGTTTTATTGAACACAAATCTGCTCTGATGTGCAACCTCTATGTGCATGTATTAACACGAAAAATCCACACACAGAAAATACAGTAATTCCTGTGCTCTAGACTCGTAACGTAATTAAAGTAATAATATAAAACATGTAAGGATACATGAAATCAGGTAAGAAATAATGTAAAGCAATACATGAATACCTGGTTAAGCTTCACAATGAATAACAGTAACATGTTTGTAATAGGAGTCCAGAGGTAAAATAGGTCTGTGGAAGGCAGAACTTGAGAGTAAAGGGAATCTGAGTGCCTTGATTCTCAGGCACCTTCCACCTTTTACCCAGACTATTGTTGCTGTTGTTAGTTGCTATCAAGTCAGCTCCAACTCTTAGCAACCCTATGTACAACAGAATGAAACACTGCCCGGTCGTGCACCATTCTCATAATCCTTGCTAGACTTGAGTCCATCGTTGCAGCCACTGTGTCAATCCATCTTGTTGAGGACCAGACCAGAAGTTCTCAAAGCCCTTTCCACTTGAAAAAATCACTGAGGATCGCAAATGAAATTTTGAAATACTTATAAATTCATTAAAAAATACTACTATTTTTTAAGGGAAAAAAAAAACGTGTATTTTCAAAACAAAACAATAACATAGTAATAATTCCTGCGAAAAGAGGCACTGTTGTACACTTTTGCAAACCTCTTTAATGTATACCTTAATAATAGACAATAGATTCTGATATCTGCTTTGCCATTTAATTTGTTATAATATGTTATTTTGGTTGGGGCAGATAAAATCTGACCTCATACAGATACATAATTGAAAAAGGGAGAAGTATTTTAATAGTTTTTCAGATTACTGTGGATATTATTCCCCGACAACTATACAAAACTCTTCAGAGGTAATTTCTTAAAGATTAGGTACAATGTTAGAATGTGAAACCAATGATTTTTTTGTGATGTTTGTTTAAAATTTATTGGTCTTACACTTTGAATGGATCTTTTACTCACAATGGCTTTGTAACATGTATTAGTCAACTGGAAAATATGAGTTCACTGAGTTATGAAGATCTTCAAAAAGCTGACAAATTTAATCACTCAATATCAATAAATCACGCGTCAGTATAACCTCTGATCTCATTAGAAAAGCTTTAAGTGGCAGGAAGTTGTCAAGCTCACAGTGGCGGATACAAATATTCTAAAATGCAAGTGTGTATTTGAAAGTTGAAATGTTATCACTTTTGAGAAAAAGTCTGCCAAATACCTGCATCTGAATAACCAGTTTGCCTGCCAATTGGTCTTTCAGTACAGCTGGTGCTCCACAGAAAAAAAGCTGCTAGTTTAGCTTATGACTCAAACAAGTGTACAGGTTGCTTTATATTTACTTCCCACTTCATCAGTATTGACTCAAGGGTTGAAATTCATAAAATTAATCATTGTTATTGCTTCATCAAGGACAGTGAAACCAATACGTATATTTGTTTTTTCTGCAATGGTACAGCAGTGAATGAGCATGCATACAGTTTGCTTCCACTGCTTTGATGCACACAAAGGTGCCAGCATGCAAGGTTCTGTATGATCTGACATTGCTTACAGCTGGCTCCTCTTCCAACAGTCTTCCCTCCATGTTATCTTCCAGGCACCCCAAACTGCTTGTGGTTTTCCAAAAGCTGTTTTCTGCTGAGAATGCTCTCCACCCATCTTGGATCTCTGGCAAATGTCCATTTAACTTCTAAGACTTGCTCAGGTCTCTCTTCCTCCATAAAGCTTCCCTGGCTGTTCATCACACACTTTTCACAAATGCCTTTATAGTGGATCATCACTCTTCAGTAAACCTGCTGTGTTTTTGGTATGTTCCTACTATTAACCTCAGTACACCAGTGTAACTTTCTCTCCATGTGCTCCCTCTATCAAACTCTGAATTCCCTGAACAAAGGGAATGTGTTCTCATTCATCTCTGTATGCTCAGTGCCTATGGTGGCACAAGTGGAATAGATTAAAAAGACAAGACTCCACAAGTCATTTATTCATTCACTCATGGGCTCTGCGTAAGAAGTGAGCATCTCATATCTGAGTGGCACTAATTTCCAACTTGACTCTCCTTCACCCTGTCAAATACTGGGGATATTGTTACACTAGAAAGGAGCACAACTATGAGACTAGAATGTCAAATAAATTTACACTCTGTCCTACTGACAAAGAACAGTCATTTGAGATTTTTAAGCAGAGAAAAATACAATCAAAAGAATATATTGAACTATAGTCTGCAAAAGGATATCAAAATGAGGAAAAGTGTGAAAGTCTAAGAACAGAAAGATATTGATGAGATTGATATCACTGTAATCCAAACATATGCCTAGGCCTCTGCCTCTCTGTCCTAAACCCCTGCAATCTGACTCCTAATCCCACCATGGTGTCACAGAGAAGTCAGGCTGAACTGGGTATGAATTCCGCCCCTGATTCATTTGTTGTACCACTATCACTGGCAAGGTATTCACCTTGTGCCTATTTCCTAATTCATGAAAGCCGTACAAAACCATCTTATTCAAAGAATCATGTTAAGGATTAAACTAAACAACTTTTGCAAATAATCATTGTCATGGTGACAATGACAATAGTAGTAGCTGCAGCAGTTAACATTTACTGAATGTTTACTACATGCCAAGTATTGTGCATAAAGTTTTATTTAACATCATCTGAACTACTTAACTAATAATCTTGTATATAGTGGGTCCTCAATAAAAGTTAATTCCCTAAGAACTAATCAGGAAAAGGAAAATATGTGTGAAATAAAAGAATATATGTATGTTTAGCTTTTCCCACTAAGTGCTAAGCTATTCAAGAGATTCAGAGTTGAGCCTAAATAAATTTTAAAACACACTTCAACACAGTATACTGTTATATTAATGCAAATCTTTCTTTTCCAAAGGGAAGTCAGTTTTTACTTAAATTTCAAATTTAACAACGTTTCTGAATTCCAAAGACTCTACTAATATTTTACTTTAATCTCCTAACAATCTACTTTCTTCTTTCATTTATTTGACATCTCCTGGTACCTACTGTATTAGGGGACTGGGCTGGACACCAAGGATAACAGTCCTCTGCCCTCCATAATGCAGCCTAGCATGAGAGTCAGATACTAAGTACTCCTTGCAAAAGGAATGAGCAAAGGCTCGTGATAATGACAATAAGTGGCATGTCAGATAGGGCATGATCTGAAAAGGAAGGTGGTGGTGTTATGCAAGGGACTGGACCAGTAAGGCTGGCCTTTATCCTACATGGAATGGAAAACACTATATAGTTTTAAACAGCAGCATGAGGCACCAATATCTGTGCTTAAAAAAAGCAGACAATTTAAGTGCCTGAGCAGGAGGCCTGGAAAGAAAGGAAGGTGGTTGAGGGAAAAGAATAGGGACAACAGGGAGAAAATTAAGAAGATGATCCTAGTGACATAAGATAAGATCTTGAACCAGGAAGTTCCGGCAAGATGGCGGACTAGGCAGAAAGACTGCACAGACCCTCAACAAAGAAAAGGGAAACCAATTAACACAGACACAGAAGATAATCCTGGACCCCTGAGCCTTGAAGGGAAGGATATAGAAGTGGACTAA